CCCAAACAGTGGCCCCCATACCACGGACGAAAAAATAAACACTGTCGAAGTCTGGAAACAGAACTTAATCTACGTTTTATCACTAGACGCTAACTTTGCTCCCTTCTTGCGCACTGACGCTACTTGGGAGAAGAAAACTGCTTTTAACCCTAACCGAGATTTTATCGACGACGATGGGCACGTTGGCGGTGTTGTACGTCGCACCGCAGCACAGAAGTGCACCATGCTGGAGCTTATGCTAGGGCAGATTGCCAACTTCTGTCCGGTTATTGCTAGGAACTCCCTTGTCAAGCAGTCAACATCACTCGAGGACATTTGGCAGAAAATCTGCCAACATTATGGTTTCCAGAGCACAGGCGCCCATTTTTTAGACCTTGCATCTATTAAGCTGGAACACAATGAACGTCATGAGGACTTGTACTAAAGACTTATGTCCTTTTTTGAAGACAACTTGTTGACTCAGAATTGTGAAATTTCGCATAATGGAGCACCTGTTGACACAGACGACGAAATGTCTCCCTCACTTGAGAACACTATCACGCTCGTATGGCTACAACCTATCCACAAGGGTCTACCACTACTGGTGAAGCAGCGATACGGACCGGAGCTACGCAATAAAATCGTGGCCTCCTTAAAACCTGAAATTTCACAGGTTCTGCCATCACTCCTCGACGAGTTACGAACCATTGAAGACTCACGGGTCTCGCGTGCAAGTTCCACATTCCCACCTCGCCGCCCTATGTCGACCCAACGCAAGGCAGACAAAGAGTGTTCTATTTGCAAAGCCGCGGGCCGCGCTGGATCATCCTCTCATTTCCTGAGCGAGTGTCATCTCCTTACAGATCCAGACAGGCGTTTTCTGCGTTCCGGTAGGACCCGCATGGTCGGGGAAGGAAATATTTCAGACATCGATCCAGAGAATGACAATCCTGAGTTTCTCGAATACAGTGCCTTTCTCGATTCCGCTACCAAGCATTCAGTCAGGAGAGTGGACGTTGTTGAATCTCCTGTTCTGTACTGCTTTTACAATCTACACCCTGTCAAGTTAACATTGGACACCGGTGCCGCTACCAATCTCGTTACTCTTGACTTTGCCAAGTCAGTTAGTCTCCCAGTCAAGCCTACCTCCCAATCTGCCTACCAAGCTAATGGTGTAACCCCTCTAGACATAGTAGGAGAGGTTCACTGTTCCCTGACACGTAACGAGACAGTTTTGCGGCTTGACGCCCTTGTCGTGCGCAAACTTGACAACCCCTGTTCTGGTCGGAAACCCATTCCACGTCTCTAATGACATTGGTACTAGACCGAAGAAAAGGCAGATCATTATTGGTGGATCGGAGGTCGTCTACTATGGAACACAGTCTACCAACAAGGCGTCAGTGCGACGCACACAAGCTATGGTCTTGCGCACCCCGGCTAGGTCCACTGTCTTACTGCCAGAAGACCATATCGATCTGTGTACCCCCCAGATACAGATCCCGACATGGAATGGGCCCTGGAACCAAGACTCGATAGCCCGTCAAACCAGTGCAAGTGTGATTCGCCATGGCCCGACCCCTAAGTCGTACTGTCTGTCACCCACACAAGTCGACTATGTAATGGCACCGATGAACCTATTAAGCTCAAGCGTAACGAGCACGTGTGCCAGATCCAGACGGTGGTTTCTGTCCACGACAACCCCAGTCCCGGTGCCTTTCACTCTTCCAACCCCTCTAGCAATGCATCTCCACGGGGTAATGGCGATTGCTCGTCCATTCAAATAGATCCCGAGAACACCCTACCCCCGGGTATACGTCAGAAGGTCAGGGATCTACATGCCCCATTTGATACTGTGTCTCCCGATGTCCCCAAATACAACGGTGCTAGTGGTCTCATCGAGGCTACTGTCAACATGGGTCCCCCCCCACCTCAGAGGAAGGGCCGACTCCCTGGCTATGGCCGCGATTCCCATGTTGATTTTCAGAACGAGTTCGATGACTTGGAACGACCATCATTGGACACATCAGTCCAGGATGTCATGTCTGGATCCACCCGCATGCCATTTTCCAACCGAGTGGCATGGCGAGCCACCCAACGAAAGTGCTCTGACTTGCGACGCGTACATGCCCACCTATCCCAGGGCACCAGACTAGGGAGGAAGGCTGTTAAGGTCCACGACGTTCGCAGGTATCTTTACGACGTGGTGATGTCTAGTGATGGACTGTTAGTCGTTAACGACAACCAGCCCTTCCAGCCTTGCCGAGAACGCATTGTGGTCCCAAGATCAGTCCTAGATGGTCTTATTACTGCTGTGCACATCCGCTTCAACCATCCCAGCCCTTACCAAATGAAGCTGCTACTTTTCAGGTACTTTTATGCTCTGAACCTGGATGCCGCAGTTCGTGCCGCCTACGATTCGTGTCACCACTGCATGGCACTTAAGTCTGTTCCCGTATCACTGCAACCGCAGTCTACCGAAGACCCTTCTACTATGATCGGTTCATCATTTGCCTTGGACGTTATGAGACGATATCGGCAATGCGTTTTGCTCCTTCGTGAAACTGTGTCATCGTATACACTGACTTCACTGATCTCCGATGAGAAGCACGAGACCCTACGCGATGCTATCATCTCGATGTGTGCTGACGTCGCCCTTCAAGGAGATCATGGCGTGCGGATTCGAGTTGATCCTGGTTCCGGACTGGTGGCACTGAAAAACGACCCTGCCCTTCTAGCCCAAAGTATACATCTCGTCATCGGACGCATCAAAAATCCAAACAGAAACCCTGTTGCGGAAAGGGCAATCGAGGAGCTAGGCTTGGAGTATCTCAGAATTTCACCAGGGGGCGGTCCTATGACTCCCCTGTCGCTAGCAGTAGCTCCCTCGTCTATGAATTCGCGTATCAGGAGGGACGGTCTTTCGGCCAGAGAGGTATGGACGCAAAGAGATCAGGTTACTGGTCAATAACTTCCCATCGATGATCGCGGATCTAGATGGAAGTCTCAAGATTTCCAGAGAAACAGCAACTGCGCCCCTCTTCATGTTGGTGACTTGGTACACATTACCATGGACAGGGACAAGACGAAGGCCAGAGAGAGGTATCTCATAGTATTCGTGGAGGATGACAGATGCCGTGTCAGAAAGTTCGTCAATGACCAGATTCGATCCAAGACTTACGACGTCTTGCTCTCCGAAATTTACCACGTCGGATCCAATGTACTGGGTAGCTACCATCAGAGCTCCACCATACCTTACCAGTATTCTGACGCCATGGAGACCCAACCCAACACCCTACCAGTGGTACCCAGCACTTCCGAACCCCTCCCTACCGTTACCCCTCCTCCAGAAATCGTGGGTTCTGAGCCTACTACTATTCCCCTAAGGGGTTATCCCAATAGCGTGCCCCATACGGTTGAACCACAGTCATCCCCTACAAGTAGTGAACACACCCCCTTGTTACCTTGCCAACCTCTGTTGTCCCCGATGCATCTGGACCCCTCACCCCTTTCGCCCAAACCGGGTAGCCCTCCCAAGGACAGGCCCTCCCGGCCCAGTAGATCCAGGAAAACCCCGGCCTGGCACGCTGACTATATGTTAGAGTAGATGTTACCAGTTACTTGCCGATGTTCAAGTTGTTCTATCGTCACATGGATTGTGACATCTAGTTTTATTTTGTGATTGGTACATTATGACATTGTCGGTGTCTCAGTAACAATTTTGTTATCTGCAAAAAGTAGTTTGTGTTTCCGTAAATACCGGTTGTTACTCATTCCTATCTCCCCAATGTCTTATCACTAAACTGTGTAGAAGGTGGACCAGACGTACAGCATGTGACGATACACGTGTGTGCGTTAACATAGAGGTTTATTTGTATCCTGGTTACAAGGCCGCGTATGGGTTGCACATATGGGACATTGTATGATCCCGTATGCATGTGTTAACTGTTTTAATGTTCCTCGTTACATTCGTGGCTACATGTATTTGGTCTATCATCTCTGTATTATTGTCTGTGTTTGGGAATTAGCCATAAACCCTACAGTATTCTCATTGTCGTTCACCTTTAGTCTCTAGGTACCGGTACACAGTTTATCACACATGAAGGAATAAGTACGTGGAGTTAAAGGGGTGCTGCGCCACTCCGTGTTATTGTGTATCGTGCGTTGTTCTCGCGCGACCTGGCGAGACCGTTTGTTGTCATTCGCGTGACCGTCCATGTTTGATTCTCTGCACACGTTTGATGTCAATACAGTTTGTTGTACTCATACTCAGGTGTGTGTGGTGGTATTAATCTAGTTAACGCATGGGCTTCCCTATCAACAAACCCAAGTAAATCTACTATACGATCACACAGCATTTGCCGGCTTTAAGTTTAACATTTATCGATAATATCACACACATGTATTAATTCCTCTACGCGCTTCTCTGCGTGTGAAAACATCGGATGAAAAAGTTGCGGCATTTTCCAAACCAAGACAACTTCTCAACTCAGTATCTTCTGGGTGACTATCACTGGTCACTGTTCACACTTTTCTCTTTAGACTGTCACATCCATATGTCCAACCTTAAAATCATAATTAAGTAGAGTAGTTTAAAACATGCAAGCTAAAATTAATGTATCCTTGCTCGGGGCGTTATTACTTAGGTTACCGATTCGCGACGTAGCCAGCCATTACCGTAACAGATTATATAGAAGATTGTAATTTTCGTGTTGGATGCACTAACTGTTTGTAATAGCAAAGAACAGGATAGAAAAAAAACAATTCACCTCTGCCGCAAACGAGATGTGTTCATATTGTATTTGCCGGTTAGAGGCAGCAGCTGGTGTAGGGTTGCATCGGCCCCGAAGCATGCACTGCATCGGAAAGTTCACGTCTATTTATAAATCCACAATACGCCTGCATCGTCAAACGCCACCGCCCATGCATGTTGGAGTTGGAGGCTGTAGCCAGCAGCATCGGGAAGCTGTGAGTAAGTAGCTCCAGGGTCGAGCGGTGCTGCGGCTAGGCGATCATTGAAAGTTGCTAATGCTGTCTGCATGCAACCTGACTGCGCCAGCGGAAACCTCGTGAGAAAACTGGATTTAAAAGGTTTCAGGAACAATAGCATGCAAGGTAGGATTTGAAAAAGTAATTTAACGAGAACGTAATGCTCTTGATATTTCACGTGTGTATGCGTATTGTTAGTTTTTATTTTAGTTTTGCTGGATGGGTACATTAGGCAGTCGGTAGTTCAGTACCACGAAAACTGCTGCTTGGCGTTTTGCCAAGTTTAGCTTTACCATAAAGGCATTTACACACTACGCTCGCAGGCACACACACATACAAACGTGCACGCGTACACAAGCGCGTGCGCACACGTACACACTTGCGCTCGTACGTAAATACATACTACGGGTCTCGGTATATAACGTGTGAGTAGTCGCTCCATTGATCGTTATTAGATGATAGTGTTGTTCACCCAGTAGGGACGTTTGATGAGAATATGACTGCTTAGATATGCCTCTAGGTATGACGTCACTGCCGATGAGCGTGCTGCTGCTGCTGCTAATGATGACACTGGCGGCGTATGCGTACGGACAGTCTGCCAGACAAACGGCGGACATCGTGACTTCCTCTGGCCGACTGCGAGGTCGCGTCGAGGAGTTTGGTCGGACGAAGGTGCGCATCTTCCACGGAATACCGTTTGCGCAACCACCAGTCGGCAATCTACGCTTCAAGAAGCCAGTCGCCGTTGAGCCGTGGCCAGGCGTGCGGGAAGCAACCACCATGCCGCCTGTGTGCCCGCAGCCAGAATCACTTCCTGACAGTCACGAAAAACACAAGCCGAGAACAAACCGAAGCGAGGATTGCCTATATCTCAGCATAGTGGCGCCCGACGTGAACAGTAGTGACGCGCGTCTGTCCACCATGGTGTGGATCCACGGCGGCGCCTTCATGTTAGGTGGAATCAGCGTCGATATGTACAACCCACGCAACCTTGTCCTGTACACGAATGTCATCGTCGTGTCGATTCAATACCGCCTCGGACCACTCGGCTTTCTTTACCTCGGCAGCGAGGATGCACCTGGTAGCATGGGCATGCTCGACCAGGTGCTTGCCCTTGAGTGGGTGAAGCAGAACATTGCTTCGTTCGGTGGAGACCCGGACAGCATCACACTGATCGGTGAGAGCGCGGGCAGCATGAGCGCTTCCTTCCACCTTATGTCGCCCCTCTTGGATAAACAAGCGTGATCCCCTCGTTATTCCACTTAAACATTCCACCACCATCCTAAATATATGGACAACAGATTCTCTTTTCACGTACTACAGCTTTTCGCTTCTATTTTTAATAAAGAGGACAAGATAGTAGCCCTCCTAGAGGATGGATAGATCAAGAGATTCAAGCTATTGTAGACCAAATTTTTGACACGAATAATCATCTTCACTGCATGCATGGGCTTCCCTATCAACAAAACCAAGTAAATCTATCATACGATCACACAGCATTTGCCGGCTTTAAGTTTAACATTCATCGATAATATCACACACATGTATCAATTCCTCTACGCGCTTCTCTGCGTGTGAAAACATCGGATGAAAAAGTTTCGGCATTTTCCAAACCAAGACAACTTCTCAACTCAGTATCTTCTGGGTGACAATCACTGGTCACTGTTTACACTTTTCTCTTTAGACTGTAACATCCATATGTCCAACCTTATAATCATAATTAAGTAGAGTAGTTTAAAACGTGCCAGCTAAAATTCATGTATCTCCGCTCGTGGCGTTATTACTTAGGTTACCGATTCGCGACGTAGCCAGCCATTGCCGTAACAGATTATAGAGAAGATTGTAATTTTCGTGTTGGATGCACTAACTGTTTGTAATAGCAAAGAACAGGATAGAAAAAAATCAATCCACCTCTGCCGCAAACGAGATGTGTTCATATTGTATTTGCCGGTTGGAGGCAGCAGCTGCTGTAGGGTCGCATCGGCCCCGAAGAACTGCATCTTTCAGTTCGCGTCTATTTATAAATCCACAATACGCCTACATCGTCCCACGCCACCGCCCATGCGTGTAGGAGTTGGAGGCTGTAGCCAGCAGCATCGGGAAGCTGTGAGTAAGTAGCTCCAGGGTCGAGCGGTGTTGCTGCTAGGCGATCATTGAAAGTGGCTAATGCTGTCTGCATGCAACCTGACTGCGCCAAGATTTAAAAGGTTTCAGGAACAATAGCACGCAAGGTAGGATTTGGAATAATAATTTAACTAGAACGTAATGCTCTTGATATTTCACGTGTGTGTGCGTATTGTTAGTTTTTATAATCTGTTACGGCAATGGCTGGCTACGTCGCGAATCGGTAACCTAAGTAATAACGCCACGAGCGGAGATACATGAATTTTA